AGCAGTATTCATCCACCTGCAGTATTTGCTTTTGTGTTGTCCCTGTGCTCACCTTGATGAGAATGTTTCCCCTTGATGCCTGTAAATTACACCCGATTTAGACCCAAATCCTTGTCAGCAGGGATGAACACTGTAGCTGTAGCTTTTCTCTCCAGTTTTTGCTAGGAAAGTCATTACAGGAAATCTCCCTCTGTAGGATGCTCAAAGGACTATTTTTGCTTCAAGGGAGATTAAACGGGATTATGTTATTGCACGTTATGGAGGAGGTTTAGGGGATTGAAGTGTATGAAGATGATCTCACCACGGTTGATATTTTGCTGTTAATAAAATGCTGCTTTTCCTGCTTAAATTCAGCTGAAGTACACATGTTCTCCCATTTTGTTGAATTTTCGCGAGTGCTAGTGCAAATCATGATGCAAAATCAAGCTCTTTCAGTTAAGTTCATTCTGTAGATGATTTTCAGTTTTCCAAGATGTTTGGTTTCATGTCAACACATCCATCTATTGTGCGTGACGGCAGCAACAGTTACAGTTGCCCTTCTCTGACCAGTCAGTCAGAAAACGTGAAGGCAGAAGAGCAGAGGAGCATGTTTTCTCTGCCAGTCTGCCAGCGTTGATCTATCTCAGTGTGTGGGAGTGGCCTTTGACCTGCTGCAGACAAGCTTGTAGCGATGAAGCGGGGAGCCTGCTGAGCCTGCCGCACTCCTATCATTAACATGGAGAGTCACGCTCCCCCTCTGCACCATCCATTGTTTTCCTCCAGTTCTGTCCTTGAGAAGAAACATGCTTTATCTCCACCAACCCACTGTGCCATTTAGTTTTGCAGCTGATGATCAAGGCCAAAAATCTTCTAATGCATCACAAATTGATGCATGGTTCATTATCTCCTTTTGAGTAATGTATTGTCAGTAGAGATACATTTTGGCATTCATTTCAGCACAGTGGCTGAGTGATGGTTGTTTTATTAATCCCGCTGTGCTGACAGTTCCAGTTGGTTGATTTTGCTGCAGTTCACGGGTCAAAGAGAAGGTGACGCACAGGTTATATGAGCAAAGAGACAAGCAAGAGGATGGCTTGCTTATTCTTTATATGAATGGGACAGAACACCACCTTTTGTTTGCTCTGATGGGGTGACTGTGCCCAAATACATAAGAAAGTTATTAAATGAGGCCAGAGTATTGAAATCATTTGGGTTTTTTGGAGTGCCTCTATCTCTGTTCATTAGTCAGGGCAGATTGCCCAGGGATGTTGAGGAAAATAAAATGCTCACAACAAAGGCCAAACAGTCCTACAAAATTCCTGGCTGTGCCCCTAATCTGCATCAGCACTGAAATTGAACATGTTCTTTTTGCATAATCCTGCTAAACAACAAACCAACAATCAATAAAGCAAACACAAGTGGAAACATTACCTCGACAGAGGTAAGTAAACTAGTATAAACCAACCATTTCAGTATAATACCATTAATCTGTTTGTTGTTTCAAACATATTGATATTTCATACATTGCTATAAAATTTGGTTCGGATATTCATGATCCCCAGAAGATAACTCTTGCTGACTTTGGTGGTCCCCTGACTTCCTCCAGGGCCACCATGAGGATCATTTGTGTTCATTTAAATGAAATATGTTTTTGGGAACCTTTAAAAGGCTGCAGATCTCAGTGTTCTAGAGGGGACATAGTTACCTAGAGAGTCAGCTATGTAAC